TTTTAGATGCTGGTATGCTGGTCAACCAGCATGACAATGCTGGGTGAGCAGCTAAGCCAGCAAAAGACCAGCATAGACCAGGAATTTATGCTGGTTTAAGCTGTTTTTCTTAGCAGGGTGTTCAGATCTATTTGCCAATCTCACCAGGATCTTAAGGCCTTTTTTGTGACTGTTGTGGGCTAAAGAGCTTGATTTCGCAGTGGCTTTCTCATTATTGGTTGTTTTGGGGTATTTCCAATAACACTGTACAAGACATTTGTGTTGATTGTGGCCTGATCTATTTATTCAACTTGTTTTTTTTTTTTTGTTTCCTGATGAAACCAAAAGGAGAAATAAACTGGAGATGCGGGCGTAGACTTCAAAATATTGAAGGTTTTTGTTTAAAAACACAATATAGAGCACTTTCTGGAATTTTCTTTTTTATATGTTGTTGGGAGTGGGCCTTACATACACAAGAAAAATCAGTGTTATATCACCTTTATTAGAGAATTAAAATTGTTTTTCATTATACGTCAGCTATTCTTCTCTTCAAAAACTTGTTATATCCAAAATTCTTACAAATGAATATACATCATTTTGGAAATAGAATTTTTAATATTTAATACTGAAATGGTGTAACAAAGCTACTTGTATACAAAATAAGCACCATATTTCTACAGTCATATATTTAGGACAGATGCTCTTAAGTGCTCTTAAACTTGTTTTTTGTGACTCTAAACTAGGCCTGGGTAATATCTGAAAATAATTAGCACAATATTTTCTTGTTTAAAAATAAGGGTTATCAGTTAGGTAGAATTGTCCTCTCTAGTTCTCAATTCTGTTTCCCAACAATTATTGACGTTTAAAGTAACTTTTCAGTCATGGGCAGTATTCTACTGAGCTAGTCTCTGAACCGAGCATCTGAACAAATTGAGGACTTTTAATTTGTGGTCCACAATAGTGTTGCAGGGCAATGTTGCATACAAAACAATTTCTACCTTGCTTTCGTGAAAAGTGTTTTGGAATTGGTTTGCTTTGTCATTAGATTTATAAATATTCATTGGCAGATGTGATCGTTTCTTCATGGTGTCATGAATACTTTAACATCTTTATTTTTTATTTTATAACTTTTTTGTTCATATTAGTACAAACAAAGTCGAAAGACTTGAAGATTTGAAGTGGAAATATTCACTGGAAGTCAATATTAATATTAAAAAGAGAAGTGTCTAAATACTTTCTCATGGTAACCATGCAAGGAAACATTTACACATTTAACTGACCCAGATCCTACATTTGACTTGGTTTTTTTTTTCTTGTACCATTTGTGTGATTCTGTGTACCAAAAAACAGCCATATGATTTTGTCCCATTAGCATTTTCCAACCTCTCTTTATCCATTAGAATTGTGAAAGCTGTGACTGATGTATGTAATTGAGCTCTGTTATGATTGGTTCTCCTGTATTGAGTCTCATTCAAACAACAGTCTGCGCTGAAACACTCCTTATAACTTCAGTATGAATGGGCGGAACTAAAATGCTGTAGCTGCATCGGAAGATGTTGTTGGAGATATGAAAATGTGATAGATTTTGTGATATCACAGAAATAAGGAATTCAAAATGGGCCATTTGTGCAGCTTAGTTTCCATTTGAGGAAGAAAGAAAACTTTAATAATGTCTATTGTTCAGTAAGGAAAATTCAGTTTTCCATGATATGGGCCCTTTAAATGGTTCTTTGAGTTGTGATGGTTCTATATATAACCACTGCTTTAATAAAGAACCTTTAAAGCCTCTTTTTGAGAGTGTAGTCTGTTTGGGATTTTAAAGGATAGTACAGTACATTGTTATCACTGTCAGTTTCTTAGGCTGCCCCACTTACAGTTATCAGCACATGTTAAATGGCATGTGAAGCACTTATAGGAATAGATCCCACACGTGTGACTCTGTGACTGAGATCGAACTGGATTAATCAAGAGAAGCTTGATTAAAGTGAAATAGTCTCTTATATTCTGAATATGTATGTAACTAACATGTTACATACATATGTGCTGACTTAGAAAACATCACATAAAGAGCCCACTCTGTTCAATTATTAGATTTCTTTATCTAAACTTCACTGAAAGAAAGTTACAGCAGTGAACGCTTGTTCCGTCTTGTTCCACTGAAAGAGTAGTTCCTGAATCATTGGTTATTCTTGCCATTTGTCATACATACCAACATAATGAAGCAACGTCCATGTGTGTTACAGACTGGACAGTTAAACATTAAAAAGGAAATCCAAAAGGCACAAAATGTGTGTCACATTCATCAGTTACATATCTATATGTAAATCTCAAAGGGCGTTTATAATGCTGTATTACAATATAGAAACATTTCAGTGAACAGTTGATCACATTTCCTCTCAAACATATGTCATGATTTGTAATGAACGTCATGACAGCCGACCCCTGCATGAACTCCTACCTTACATCTGGAAGCTATAAAGCTGCCTGACACTCATGCTGAACTTCTTACCTACCTATCATATGTTACATTCTGCATATATCTAACACATTCAGTAGGTGGAAGTGGAGGATGGGTCCCCCTTTTGAATGGGTGAATGTTTTGTGGGTGGTTTGATGAATCAAGGTATCACATGACACAACAAATTTAAATAATTTTAGCCAGAATTGTCAATATACAAGCACATCACATCAATCGTTCACCAGTTCTGGGTTTTCCATCCACCTGGATGGAAAAGCCAGAAATTTAAGATGTCTAAACATCATTAAAAAAAAAGTTGCCGTGTACAGCTGACAGAAGGCTGTCAAAACTGCTCTACTGTGATAATAAAAGGTTCAAGTCTTTCTATTGCATACGCTGCAGCCAACGATCGAGACACTTGTTTCGCAAACATATCTAGTCATCTTCAGAAATTTGTGCGTAACGGTAGTTTGACTAGACCAGTAGTTTTTAACCTGTGGGCCGCAGTCCCCTCAATGGACTGTGGAAGTAGTGGCAGGGGGCCCTGGGCCATCAGTTTTTCTTAATTGCTAAAAATTAGTTACAGTGTAGACGTTGACCAAACGTAGTTGTATGTACATACATACATACATACATACATCATCTAAACCGCTTATCCTTCTGGGTCGCGGTGGGGTGCTGGAGCCTATCCCAGCTGTCATTGGGCGGAAGGCAGGATACACCCTGGACAGGTCGCCAGTCCATCGCAGGGCCAAACGTTGTTGTAAAAATGAGAAATATTGTTGATTGTTTGAAAAAATAAAACATCATATTTTTATCAAGCTCATTCTTTGTTCTGGCAAAATGCTAGCTAGTTTATGTTTTCAGTGCAAGTCAATCTAATAAAGTTTCACATCATGGATAAATGATAAAAAGGGTCTTTGTAAAAGAAAGCGGCAGGGCCATCTACAAGTGTATTGACCACTGTATCTCAGACTGAGAAAATCAAGCATAAACTGAAAAGAAGAAAGTACAGCAGTGAGTAGCATGTGTGAAAATACAGTATTGCTAGGCTTCACGTGCGTGGGTACTGAAAACAAGTAACTACAGCTCTGTGCTGTTCGCTCAGACATCTTTTCAAATAAAGCTTTGAAACCCAACAATTTACACCTTCACCTTCACCCAGAACTCTGTTTGTAGTTTTCCTCTCCACAGCATCCAGCTCTCGGTAGCTGCCAAACAAGGTCAGCCATCTCATTAAATGAGTCAGCTCTACTTGAACTTGAAACTTGTAACTGTTATATTCAAATGGCATATTCTTTAGTTTGTATGTTGAAATTGCATTGCTTGAGTAGCTATTAGCCTGTTAGCTGTCTGCTGAACTGTCCAGACTAGACATGATTAAATAAAACAGATTACTTTTAATTCACATACAAGCAATCTGTAACTGCAAACAGAGAGATCCTGCTGGTGTGGGTTTTTCTTTTTCAATGATGCACACAAAAGCTATTTGAGTGCTAGCTACTCCTCGTGGGGAATGTTTAGACTGCTGAACACAGCTTTATAATCTGCAGATACCCCATTTACCGTTAAAATTGTGAAGTGATCACTAAGGTGATTCATCAAGCATGTCAACTGTAATATTTTTTTAAATAAAGTAATTGTGTAGGCCCTGTTATGGACTGTTATTTCAGCACAAGGGACAAGAACCATGGTTGGGCAAAATATTTTGAAAAAGTAATGATGGCTGAATACTAAATATATATATAAAATATTCTGTTACAATACATAAAACAGTAATGTATTTAGAATATATTTATAATACATTTATAATACATCTTGGTAAGACAGATGGGTAAATCTTTTTTCCACCCTGTTCCTCGCTGTTACTGAATGCTAGTTTCTGTTATTATTCTGTTAGTATGTTTTATAAATACATTTCTGTTAGTAGGTATCATTTAATAAAAGTTATGCAAAATTCTGTTTTTTTTTCCTGCCTGCTTCAATCCACTGCTACTCCCATAATCCCCCAAGCAGGAGTTCCAGTATAACACAGATGCTAAACTCACACTCACAAACACATCCACAACTGAGATTATTAGTTTGATCATACCTCTAAAGAGCTCAGTAATGCTGAGATAAATAACTGCCTCATCACATTGATTTATCATTCTACTCAGTCTTTAATAGGAACTTCAGTGTTTGTAAAGCTGTTAATTGAGATAGTCTTTAGAATTCGTCTAACGAGCATAATTGCTACATGCCCTGTGCTCTTTTTAAAATAGTTACTAAACAAACATTGATGGTATTTCTTTTGAAGACTGTTTTTTTATTTTAGTGAGTAAGTATTCTAAAAGTATTCTCCTAAAAACATACAAAGCAACTGTATTCTGAATATTGTCTTTACAAAATGTAACTTGGACTGAATACAGATACTTAATATCTGGACTCTGAATATGTATTCACGATACTTGTATTCCGTTACATCCCAACCTTGGCAGCAAAATTGTGCTCTAATATCATTTGGCTTAGTTTACCCAGAAAAGCTGACATATGAAATGTACCACACAAAAGCCCATGTAGTGAAGATTTTTGGTTTATTTCTTGTCTTTGTAAAACAATTTTCCTTAACACCAAAAAGGGTCATAATATAGCCTAATTACTAAAAATGAAAAAAAAAACCAACACATTCAGAACAAGCTTTAGCCCCGCCAAAGCACTAGTCCAAAAGGCCTCAACACTGAAATCACAGTGAACTGACACACTGCTTCATCCCTACTGAACATCACTTGCTTAGCAAATTCCACACATTTTTTAACCCAGTTACAAAGCTGGATTTATCTCAATACGAGCTCAAAGGTGATATTACAAAAATTGACATATCCAAAGACTTTTGATCTGAGACACAAGAACCAAAACCAAGTATCAGAAGGTTCAGCATCCCAAATGATCACATTATATTGCGGAACACATAAATAATGTGTAAAAATGATACAAAATTAACAGGAATCCTAGCGCCAAACCCATATGAGGCAGCGTTCTGGGGCAACAAACAGGCTTTGCGTTCATGCTCCGGTTTAGACAGGCGCAACTGTGTGGGCACATATCTGATATTACATGTGCTGAGGATAAATTCTGATTGTATTAGAGACAACCTAAAAGGTTGGAAATGTGGGCTCGAGCTTGATTGTCCATAGAAAAAACTTCCACTCAAATGCAGTCTATATTGCAAAAAAGGCGATATCTCATAAATCCTTTGCAAGGGATACAAATGTATATAAATCTTTGTTTTGTTTAAACTCAAAGCTGTAGCTAATTAATATAGACTTTGCACATCTAAAACCGTAAAATGTCGTGTATCAACAGTCATACTAAAACTAAAAAGTAGAAATGTCTCTGACACATCTCTTTCCTCTTGTGCATGGCCGTTTTGCAACGAACACTGGTATATTCGAACCACTGTGCGCATTTAACACATGTAGAGCGATACATGTTTACAACTTACTCTAACCTTCATCTTCTGACTTCACAGTTTTCTGAAATAGACACTCTAAAAGTGCTTAGACAAGTTTCAGACAAGCCTTTATATATAGCTAAAATGAATCCTAATGAAGGTAAATTTCACTGCTATATGTTGACTATATACACTGCTATATGTTGACATTCAAATCTCTCTTCAACCCAATATGACAAAGATGCATGATTGTCTGATAAAGTCCATGTTGAGGATATACTTTAAATAAAACTCCTGCTCTGGAGCATTTTAATAAGCCTCCATTTAAAAAAAAAAATTAACACTGATAAAGGAATATTGAAGCAATTCCTAAATATATTCTAATGCAGTGGTGACCAGCTCTGGTCCTGGAGATCTAACTTACTGCAGAGTCTAGTACCAACCACCATCTGCCACACCTGCTCCAGCGAATTAATTTAATTAAAGTCCTTGATTGGTTAAATCAGATGCATTAGTGTCAAGAAAGGAGGGGAAACAGCATGCTAGATACAGGTTAGTCTCACAAGGCAGACTTCTGCATGAAGTCACAGGCTATGTTTGAAAAGGCCTGCTCACATACTGACCGTGCCCAAAAGCACTAGTTTTTTGGGTATGGAGTATGTGACCAAAATGAAGTATGTGACTGGAAGGAGTATATCCAGTACAACAAAGATACCTGGATGGTGTACTACTCTGGTATCTTCATGATATAGTGCATCCCATAATGCAGGAATGTTCAACTCCTGTCCTGTAGGGCTGGTGTCCAGGTGATTAATCTGATCAAACATACTTGATGTAACTAATCTGTTATTTTCCATCTTTAATAGATATGTCTGAGAAAGCATCATCAAACCATCCTGGACACTGGCCTTCCAAGATCAGAAATGACCAACCCTGCAATGCAGAAAAGCAACAGTGATTAGATGGCTAAGAAAAGGAGGCAGATATTATGTTCGCTCTGATCGTCTCAGCCTCTAAATGTTGGTAGAGTTTAGTCACACACTGTAGTAAAGTATATGGTGGTTTTAGCCCACATGGTAACGAAGTGTTTATCTTTTGCACACAAAGCTGGCCTTAACTAATGGATTTTGCCAGTTGCATTCTGATTTTCTATCCGCACATCCGTGCATAAGCATTCAGACATGAAACAAAGTTTTACCAGCTAAATTCTAATCAGCAATAGTTCATACTTCAGTGGACTACCTGACAAAAATCAAGCTTTTCAGAGCAAGACATATATCACACTTGTCACCCTCTACACAATGTGTCAAAAAAGCGGGCTGTGATTGGTAGCTTGGCATGGCATTCAAACAACCTCTTTTGACAAAGCAGGCAGTTCTTGGCCACGTTATGTGGTGAAAAGTAGGCAGAAGTCTGGCTTGTGAGACTAGGCACATGGTACCAAATGGTAAATGGGGTATACTGGATACTATGCTGCATACCACATACCACATATACTGCATATGAGGAGTAGCCAGCAGTATGCAGAATATACTGGTGCCATCTGCAGTACACAGTTCACAGTGTCCCATCTTGAACAAAGCCAGTGAGTATGGTGCACTTCATAGCTTAGCATGGCCAAGAACCATTGTTAGACTGACATGCAAAATAATCAACCACAGTATTGTTTTTGTGTGACTTGGCAAAACTGGTCTGCAACAAAAACACATCTGTGAGGAAACAAATGGGTATAAGTATCAGTAAACACGCAAAGATATCTTGCTTAAGAGCTCCAAACATAACTCTCAAATAACTTTTAAAAATGTGCTTCCATGAACTGCCAGTGGCTATATCTCTAAAAGGCTCTTGTGTACGCACACTGACATGCAGACAGCCAATCAGAATGCAACTGAAAAAAACAGATAGTTATGGCCAGCTTAACTTACTATATATAACATGTACACGGAATGTCTGAGGCTGAGTCTAGATGCAGACTGGAATTAAACTCTGCAAGAAAGTAGATCTCCAGAATGAAGGTTAGTGACCACTGGTCTAATTGCAGCCAATGCAGAACATCAATGTCAAAACTTCCTCCCAATTACAGTACATGATCAGAAACCCCTCTCGTAGGGCATCTGAATATGAACAAATACACTACTGGACATGACAAACATAATTTGGGAAATAGGTGCTCCCCTTGAACTACGTGGGGAGCAGAGATGGGGTAGTTAATGCAGAAGCATGCTGAAACTGCACTGACGTAATCTTTGCAACAATTTTTGCTTATTCAGTGGAGCATACAGTACCATAATAGGCCTTTGTTGAGGTGAAAATACTACAGTCCTTTGATTACAACAACTGTTGTAACAGTACACTAAAATCTGGTGAAAAAAGAACCGTTAGTTTGAGCCATGTTAAGGCACTCAAAGATTCTGTGATTAGCAAATGTGGTAAACACGTCAGTAAAGACATGTAATAAATGACAGCACCTAATAATCTGGTCACAGAGAACAAAGCACCTTTAGACTGCTGGGTTGGGTCTGAGCATACAAATGTATCAAATGATTACTATCCAACTTGCTGGTGCTATGGCAGCCCATCACTCTAAAGGACCCAAAGGCATATCCTAAGTTCTGCTTTATTCAAAATTCTAATTTGAGCATGTTCACATGGTTTTAAATAGGGGGACACATGAAAATGGTGCAATAAATAAGCAATACTGTCTTTAAAATCAGCATAGCATCCATGTGAAGCTGTCATTTAATATTAAGGAGGAATTCTTCTAGTAGTTTGATTCCTCTTCTTGTATTATTTCCCTTTTGCCTTCAAGCAAGTCATCCTTAAGAAAAAAATACTTGGGGGGGGAAATGAAAAAGAAAGCTTGGGCTATTCCTAAAAATGAAAATCCCAGATGAAAGCCTTGGGTTTCAGGGTATCAAACTGCTTTGAAATTCCCCAAAAAAAAATTCCACCTGCTTACAAAAGGGAAAAAAATAAATTAAAACAGTCCTGGACATTCTGCGTTCCTCTGCATTAGTGTTTGTGAAAAGATCCAACGAAATTCCTTTAAGACTGGGGTAAGTGCTGCTTGATGATCTCTTTGGACTGAGGAGGTATCCGGTCAGGAAAGCGCACCTGGAATTCCACTATCATGTCCCCGCGTTGGGAAGGATTCTTGGGGAAAGGCAAGCCCTCACCCCTAAGTCTTTTGATGGTGCCTGGTTTGATGATGTCATTGCAGGGCAGCGAGATCACTCGGTTCTCCATAGTAGGAATGTTCACTGTGCAACCACACAGAGCCTGGAAAAAGAGGAGAATGGGGGAGTGTTGTCAGATAACAGTAGAACTGACTGTTACAAAATCAGAAAAAAAATAACTCTATGTACCCAAATGTTTATTTTTAAGATGTTTCATAAGGTGTTGTTTTATCTAGATATTAAGTGACTTATGCCTGACCCACACTACAGGATGACCTGATAGTTCACCCCTCCCAAAAATTGCCAATACTCGGACCTGGTCTTAAACAATTATACTGTGGAGTGGGTTACAATGAATCTTAATATCTCCTATCTGTTGTAATTATAAACCCTATCAAACCTAACTTTGGCCTTTATCTAGTTAAAAACTGCCACCAGTGTAGTTACAACATGTCATATCCACAGTCAGCATGGTAAAATGCATCAGTGTGTGGAATTACAGCTTTTTGTTTTGTACCGTGTTTTCTATTACTAAAAAGAGCACAATCCTGCCTTTATTGTTGGATGCACTGCTATTGAGCTTTTGCGAATGTTTCTAAATGACGTGCCCACAGATTCAGAACAGAGTTCGGATCAGCAACCACTTATTTAAGCATATTCCTATTTATGCGTTTCCTTCTCAAAATGCTAGTTCGTGACACTAGATTGAACAACATAAAGTCACTTTCTGCTTTCATTAAACATGTTCAATATTTACGGCTCTGCATTCTTTAGTGAGGGGGGAATGGCACCTGTCTCATATGAAACACCATCTTGACAGCAAGCAAGAAATGACTAGTAATCAAGGAGAGCATTGAACAAAGGATAAAATGTATCTTCAACAATAGTTTTATAACTAAATAAACTTTCTTTTGATTTTACCTGCAAAATGCATTCAACTAGCACTTCATTCTGTGCCTCGCTTTTGTCCACCATGCATGTTTTGATCAAAATGTGTCGTGTTTTTCACAAGAAATTCTTAGAGATCAGGCTCTGAGAGTCTGAGGGCCACTGGCCAGAGTGAACTCTAACTGGTCAGCGTGATGTAAAAGAGGATGGTGTTTTGCTCTGGGCAATTTTTGTTCAGGGCTTTAATGAATGAAGGACAAAAAGTCTGTGAAAACAGTCATTATATGTGGGGTCTCTAACATTTTCAGCATCAGTAAGGATTTTAGAAATCCAGTAGAGTGGGCCAGGCATAACCCCCGCTAATTATTAAACTGCCCTAGGTGCTTTGCTTGAAGACAGCAGATACTAGGTCTAGTGTCTTTTAGTGTTGTCAACCGTTTCGTCACACATGACATGAGCCAATGATATGTTAGACTGTACTGTGTAGCTGGTGTCAAAAATATTTGTTGCTGATACTTACAAATGTGGAGTCAATAATAGCCTTTTGTATCATGTCTGCCTTCAAAACCTAGGCAAACTTCTAGCTTCGGTAGTATTTTTGTGCAGATGTTAGATATTATAAAGGGTATTGCCATAATCTACCATCTATCTTGATCATACAAGCTTAATGTTAAGAACAAGAGCCAGGAAGGACTCAAAATTTTAGCCTTTGAAATGAAAATCCTATCTAGAACAACTTGATCAAAGTGCTGCTGGCTTGGTTAGGCCAAACCCCTTGACCTGGTCATTACTGTTAAAGAGAATGTATTTTCCTTTTTCTTTTCAAGCTAAATGCAGGTAATGAACAAACAAATGTACCAGGAACTGCGAACTGCACTGACATGTGATGGCTAATAATCTCATTTGATGGAAACTTCCTTATTACTTTTAGGACTCCATCAATCATTCATCTCTGCCACAGCATATGACTTTTTATCACCTCAAGATTTGTCCAGAAGGCTGAAACACTGTTGTGAAGGTAAGACTGTGGCTAAAACAGCACAGTCTGAGCAAGACGAGAAACATTAAAGTACAGAAGTAGAAGGTAATTAAGTATGACTCACTAGAGGGGGACTCTTGATGTCTATGAGCAAGTTTAAGCTTACGTAAATGTGGATAAGTGACTGTCTGATGTCTGCTATCTAAGTGAGTGTGTCGGTTGGTGGTAGAGGGGGAGCTAATGGTGCGTACTGAAAGCTAATTTTAGCTGCTGCTCTCGTTTTGCTGCACTGATGGAGTAACTGAAGATTCAGCAGAGGTCGTAAATAGTTGGCAAGTTTGTCAGAGAGGTTTAAACCGATCCATGACTACAAAGAATTTTCCTCGGTTGGACTCCTGGCATTTCCCTTAATCGATGGCAGGCACATAATGAACTACATTTAGGACAGTCAACAGAAGGTACAGTTTAAAATGGAGGCGCAATTGTGGAGTGTGACTCAAATCATTACCTGGCTGAAGTCTTGAAAAACAGAGCTAATAATGTTTAAAGCGACTGACTTTAAGAAGACAGGCTAACTTTTTCTGGGATTTTCAGTTTAAATCCAAGATCTCCCCTGCAGCACACTAAATCAAACCCTCGAGCATTAGTTGCCATCTCAACTGTCTTCCTAACTCAGGATATGGAAGGTATATTGGCTAATCCAAGAAGTTCAATCTGTGGCAGCACTCAATGCAATTCCAGTTTCCAAGAGTCTGCATTCTTTAACCATTAATTCATCTCAGCTTATGGAGGCACAGCTTATCATCAGCTTTCTTAATGATGAAGCATACAGCCTCGGAAGGCTACTTAGCAGCTGCCCCAAGAGACGAGGAGATGTGTTGGCAATGACATCAGCTCCTTTCTTCAGGCAGCAGCAACAAGCGGGGGATTCATGGAAAGAAGGCTGTGGCTGAGGCTAACACAAACATTTGGCCTTGACCGCATGCCAGGCATCTCCATGGCTGACCTAATGTGGAACAATGGCTGAAGAGTGAAGGTTTCCCAAACAGCGCCAAACAGCAACTAGGCAAGCTGCTAAAATGAATCAGCTTCGACACAGATTTGGTTTAATTACAATTATGACAAAGTGTGATTTAAGCTATAAGATTACAATGTATAGAACCACAATCAGCCTGAGCTTATCGAGATGAAATTAGCACCAAGTTAAGGCTTCTCTATGATTTCGATCGAAAGTAAACCGAAGAAGCTCTCTTTAAATGTAAAATGCTGAGTTTCATTTGGAGGCGATGTGTTCCTGAAACAAGTGTAGCCTACCTCCAGTCTTTCTCTCCAAATTTGTGTTTACGACAAACGGGCAGACAAAGATTTATGAGGTGAGTTGGCATGCCCATGAGAGAGCAGCAGATGGCAGAACACTTTATTGCCTCTGTGATATTACAGCAGCACTAGCTTCTCATCAAGTTTCAATGTGGGCATCTAATGAGTATGATGAGCAGGAACAGCATATCTATGCCATCCTCTGGAAAGTTATTAAACACTGTCCCAGATTAGTGGCTCCACAAAATGAAAACATGTTTTCACTGCACTCTGGTTCTGAAGACCACATCAGAGCTAAACTAAATGTGAATCTATTTTAGGTAAAACAGCAGCCCTGCGGACATTTCTGTAAATTAGATAGCCCAGGAGATCAGCTAGCTTGACTGAGCTGACCCAGTCATATTTCCCTTGACTACAGCAAATTATTAAGCTTTGAAACAGCCAGGCGAGGAAAACTCTCCACTTTTTTATTATCCCTTTAAACGCTGATGGCGAGGCTATGAAACGCATCAAGGTGACTCAGGATGCGGATTATGGCTATTTTGGGGTTCATTGAGAGGCTGTGAGGGATATCTGATTTGTTTTCTAGGTCAGGAGCATACTTCAGACAGATTAGATTTCAGTCAAATAAGCTCAGTCAGTAACATCTTTCCTTATTGCGTTTACAAAGATCTTGGGATTAGTTGGCGGCAAGCTTGAGCTTACTGGATAGACTCAGCACTGGTCTGCATTGCACCAATAAACAGTAGCTTGTCACTCTACTGGGTTGTATGGAGGTAAAAGGTCATATGACACTGTATGAACAGATCTATGTCTGCAGATGAATGTGAACTGGGGCTGCACAATATGGACATGATACCAGTACTGCAATTATATTGCTACATATTATTATTGTGATACGCCTTGCAATATACAGGGTGATTCAAAAAGATTCATCTGATTTCCAAATGATTTATTTCACTTGTAAATCATTACAGAACAGTGCTGTAAATTCTAAATGGTTTAAGTGAGCATAAAGTGCTCAATATGGCCTCCTCCAGCTGTACAGACATCAACGCGATAGTCAAATTCATCTCATACTCAAATGAGCATGTCAGGTGTCACTGTACTCACAGCTCTTTCAAAGCGATTTTGGAGATCATCTAGTGTTGTGGAACCAACAACGAAGGCTCTGAGCTGTTGGAGGTTCACTGCCAACGATCATGTTGTAGTTATTTCAGATTCACTCTTATTGAAGTGGAGAATGCAAAACGCTTTCTGCTCAGGAGTCACCATCTCCTCACAGACTGAAGGGAGCCATCTTCTGGTGACAGAAACCCTCTCTTTCAACCGGTATGTGATTGGTTCCTAGGTGCCTCACGGTTGTAAAATTATGGCGCTTTAATATCGCATGAATCTTTTTTAATTACTCTGTATTAAAAAACAAACTTGTGACAAATGTTCTCACTGGTTAGAGGGTGTGTTTGTATACTGCTGCCTTCTAAAATATCAGTTTTGAGAAGGCCAATATTGTGGAAAAATCTATCAATTAATATATGTAGTCCTATTGAGCTGAATGCAAGCTGGATGACTATGTGTGGTTTTGCATAGGTTTTTAAGGAGTAGATACTCTGGACCAGCATACCTTGCTTCTCGAAATAACAAACTAATTCCAATTCATCCATTCAATTTCTTCTGTTCCATGCCTGCTAACTTTTCTTTCTTTATTGGCACTATGTATCTTCTACATTGGCTTTCCTGCTGTTTCAGAATGCAGAATGCTCGCTCTAAAATAGCATTCGCAATTAAACCTGCAACCAAAAATACACAGCGTTTGGCTGTTGCTGCACTTGCATGACAATTCTATCGGCACCGCTTGGCTTTGCTGGCTTTGCCTTTTCAGAGCAAGGACTGTGTGCCCCGGCACATGACACCGTACC